ACGTTTGAGTAAGTTGCAGTTCGTTTTATATAAACGCCAATTTTGGCCATAGTTTACATTTGATATATGTAGCAGATGAAAACAAGTAAAAATTTCTCGTCCAGAAAACATAGCCCTATTAAAAAAAGGAAGTCTGTTTATATTTGATACATGTAAATGAGGGTCTGGACGGTGTTTACATAAAAGTGAATAATGGTAAAAAATAATGAATAGAGAAAAATGAGAACAAAGAATATCTGTGAAAAACTAAAGGATTATACAATAAGATACTTAAAGTAAAATGATTTTCCTGGGTCTTTAAAAAAAGAATAAGCATTATTTTAAAGGTAAAGAAAAATGCTGCAAAAAATTAGAGAATATAGAAATGAAAGACCCCTCTGCAGACCCTCGTATATGTACCTGTATAGGATTGTGTAGCAGTAAAACGACAAAAGAATGCATTGTAATACTGTAAACCAAATTAGTAAAACGTCGGTATAACTAACTTATGCTTTGCAATTTCCGCACGTGTACAATTCAAGGGATATCTAATTTGTCTAGGCATGATTGTAAGGCAATGAAAATTGCAACACTCTATATTTAAAATCAAATACAGCTTTGATATGCGTCCTCTAAATATGACGGATATACAGGAAATATGTGGAGCTTATTAATTATAATAAAAGTATTTGGAAGCTTTCAAGGATTTAAAAGTCAACTAATATCTATTTTTCATGTTTTAAAAGAAAAAAAACACCACCGGACGTCACAATGAAAAACTAAATGTGTTTGTCTAACTATTAAGAATTTATGTAAAAGTATTTTCCTATGTATCATTCAATAACTATTGTTGTCTGGCCGAATTCGGATTGAAAGTAATCTTGGAATGCACAGGTGAAGGGTATTTTTATGCTTCCCATCATCGTACGGCAATTTAACATGTGTATTCACTTTAGTGTAAAACGTAATTATATGTATATCAGGCTTATCATGACAACGCGGAACTTTGTATAAGGTATGTAGATAGAAAAAAGAAGATGTGGTATGAGGGCCCATGAGACAACTCTCCATCCAAGTCACAATGTGTAAAAAGTAATAAATTATTAGTCAAAGTACGGCCTTCAACACGGACCCTTGGCTCAAACCGAACAGCAAGCTATAAAGGGCCCCACAATGACAAGTGTAAAATAATTCAAACAGGAAAACCAACGGTCTAATCTATATAGAAAACAACACACCAACAAAGGACAACAACTGAACAACAGGCTCCTGACTTAGGACAGGTGCATACAAATCAAATATATATAAAAAACGAGAAACGAGAAACCCTTAAGAACCATACATGTATCAACAAACGACAACTACTGAAACAGGTTCCTGACTTAGGACAGGTGCAAACAAATACATATATATATATATATATAGAAAGACACACTATAAAATATCAATTGAAATGACTTAACTCAATCAAAAAGACATATTAACAAAAACAAGTAAACACACACTAAACGAATACACATTTGATCTATGGCACAATGTCAATAAGACAACTATAACCTTGGACAAAATGGCGTTAAATAAAATAACGTACCCAGATAAATCTAAATATAATAATTTTGTTGTTAGGAGTACGGAGATATTTTTTACCAAATAGATAAATTTGTTGTTCATAGTACGAAACCGCAGTGAACATTTATCGTCATACAAAATATTTATCAAAGGTGGTACATATTAAAAATAGTGAGACGAGATATAACACAAAATAAGTAAACATTGAATATCAAAAATGCACTACAAATTGTGTAACAGGTCAAATTAACACGAACATACGATTTGAGAGTACTCGCAGTTACTGAAAGCTAGTTAAAAGCCAAAAACAAATAATAATAAAAAAAAGCATGCACCAGAGAGTAGAGACTAAAAACACATCCCAGGGATTTAATTTTTTAATGCCACGGACAGTCAAAGAAGACGTGACTTGTGCAATGCCAAAATAAAAGTATCGAGAGACAGTATGATAGTTTGGATTTAATCTTATAATAAATATGTATAATGTTATATATAGATAAAGCAATCTCTATATAGAAAATGTGGATGTGTATTTATACATAAAAAAAAAATATCGAAAAGAATACAAATTTAGTTACGTTTTAATTTGTTGATGACAAAATCGATATTTGTGCCAATGTAAACAATATTCAAAGATCTTATTACAACATTAATAAGATAACCTTTACTAATAAGTTTGTTTAAAGGTTCGTTGAGTTTACACGGATCACATAGTGATTTCCGCGCTTTTAGTACAATATTACCGTAAAATTTAGGATGTGAAATACCGTTTTTACAGCCAAATTTACTAATCAATTTTTTGTATCTATGAAAGAATTTAGTAAAATTTTTAAGTAATTTATGGTAACGAAATCCCTGACTTAATAATTTACCAGTGATGCATTGATTACGTTCGTTAAAATCTATGACATTACTACAAACACAGGCATAACGAACGAGTTGGGATATATAAACACTGTATGATCATGATGATGGAGCCAAAGGAACATCGCCGTCCAAAAAAAGGAAAATTAACAATAGGGAATGAAAAATCGTCTCTCTGGTAGATTTATTTAAAGTAAGTTCCTTTGGGTAAATTTCGGTAGTATATTTAACGAACCTTGGATTATTTAACGAAAAAATATCATCAAGATAACGGTAGGTTTTGTTAAATGTGTCAACCAAATGTAACAATGACGTGTCTTTACGGAGTTTGGTCATAAACTCAGATTCATAGCAATACAGGAATAAATCTGCTATTAAAGGGGCGCAATTAGTGCCCATAGGAAATTAGGAATACCTACTACCTGTCGATACACTTTATCGCCGAAACGTACATATATCATGTATATGTTGTCCAGGAGAAAATTTAAAGATTCAATCATATCTTCACATTTCCAGTATATATATATATATGTACATGGTTGAGGATCATATGTTTCTCTTTATGTGTCCTTTGTTGTTTCGGTTTGTTTAGTAGCTGTCTTATTCACATATACCTTCCCGTTTCTTTTATTCATATTCTTTTTCCCAAAACACTTACACACATTATTTATTAAATTCTTCCATAGATACAAAGGTTGGTTTGAAAGTTGGGTTGTACCAGTAAAAATAAATAATTTTAAACGGAATAGAACATCCATATTTGTACGGTGATGTTGTGAACCGGTCCTGGAAATCATTCCTTTAAATAAACGTACAGTGACCTATACATGCTATAGTTGTTAATTTTTTTGTCATTTTGGTCTCTTGTGCAGAGTTGTCTCATTGGCAATCATACCACATCTTCTTATTTTTATATTTACTCTAAAAGGTTACCAATTCAGCACTGCAATTAGATCTTGGAATAGTGTTTTTATTTGTATAAATATTGATTTTGTTATCAGTTAATTAAAACCATACGAAACATTATTGTTATACACGTATGGACATTCACGCTACTACAATCTGTCGACACCTATATTTTGACATTGCACAAGGTCATAATTTCACTGATTGTTAATGACGTCTTTACACTAAATCCATTTGATGTTGGATGTGTACTGATTTATATTTTAGTCTTAGATACATGATTTTTTTATTAGTTGTTATTGGCTATGAACTAGCTGTCAGTAACTGCGAGTACTCTCAGATCTGTACGTTGTATTGTTTTGTTTTTATGGATGCATAAATACCCTGCCACGTCCGGTCTGCGTTTTTGTTATACTAGTATGTATTTCTGCTTTGTATTGATCTGACGAGTAAAGCCCTTTTCAACAAATTTTTATAGTTTGTTCTTATGTTGTACTGTTACACCACTGTTCCGGGTTAGGGAAAGGTTGGCGCCTTCAAACATGTGCAACCTCGCCACATTCTATATATACCTGTCCCAAGTCAGGAGCCTGTAGTTTAGTGGTTGTTGTTGGTTCATGTCATATTTTTTTTTCGTAAATGGTTTTGTTATAAATTAGGCCGTCAGTTTCCTCAATTGAATTGTCTCATATTTTTTATGTCTTGGGATTTTATAGCCCACCATTCACTATTCAGTATGGATTTTTCTCATAGTAGAAGGTCGTACTGTTGCCTACAATTGCTTACATCCACTGCATTTGAACTATGGTGGATAGTTATCTTATTGGCAATTATACAACATCTTTGTATTTTTATAAAGTATATATTTCCCGAAAATATATGAAACAACGCAGAAATATTTATACATGTTATATTTTAAACGAAGATATGTCATCTCATTTGCAGACTCTGTTACTAGCAACAAAAGTGAAGAACAGAAAATACCCAGTTTGAGAAAGTTAATTTATGAGTAGTTGTTATGCGTGTGTTGAAATGTTTGTCTTCAGTTTTAATGAACGTAAATTTCTATAATTTGAAATAGGAAATATAGAATTTTGCTATCATTCATGTTTTTAATTTTTAGTAATTTTCCAAAGAATATCTGAATTAGAATGGCATTGTGATTTCTCTTGTGCATGTAGTAGGACTTAGATCTGTTTATATGCAATATATATCTTGCCAGATCCTGTTGAAGTATTTCATGTATTTAAACTATAATAATTGTTCCTTGACTCTTTATATGGGTTATTGCCCTTTAATGACATTTACGTATTCAGACTTGAATCACTTTTGCTGAAATAAAAAGAAACACATTACAAGAAACAATTGCCAGGAGCTTCGTAAAATTCGTTTTAGTACAATTATAAGTAGAAAATATATAGTCTTAAGCGTTTTAAGATTATTATAATGAGATGTATGAATCCCCCAGGCTGTATTTGCGTTTGGAAATAAGTATTATTATTACTATGATTTAAATTTTTAAATAACCAAACCTACTCAGCTTGTGGTACCCCAGGGTACTGACAGCCAACATGCAATGGTATCAACCCAATGGCAGTAAAATAAAGGAGGTTATTCAGATGTCATTACACATGTAATCAAACCAAACATTCTAGTTTTAAATATGTTCGCACTTTTTTCAGATTGTAATGATTTGGAAGAAGACCGGGATCCTGTTGGTATGTATAAAAAAATGATAATAGTTAAAGTTCTCTTAGATTTATGAGACATTATTTTACTCATTGTTTTTTTAAATTTATATATAGAGCACATTTTGAGAGATAAGATATTCGTCTTTAAATGAGTTTTAGCAAACGTCTGAACACAATCTCATGATTGCATAGCTCAAGCTACCGAATACAGTCTTTTGCAAGTTCATACGAGTACCCTTAGTAAAGTGAGGCTTTACGGGAAAACTCGTCTTGCCAAAATGACTTCAACGGCAAATTGGCTGGCACGGTTGTGGGATATCAATGCATAGGAGAAGGTCCTGAAGGGGTCAAATTTGTCTTAAAATATGAAGTACACCTGATTTTAGATTTTTAACATTTTTTAAACACTAATTAAAAGTAGATATAAGAAGATGTGGTATGAGTACCAATGAGACAACTCTCCATCCAAGTCACAATTTGTAAAAGTAAACCATTATAGGTCACAAAGTACGACCTTCAACACGGAGCATTGGCTCACACTGAACAGCAAGCTATAAAGGGCCCGAAAAACCGACTAGTGTAAAACCATTCAAACAGGAAAACCAACGGTCTAATCTATATAAAAAACGAGAAACGAGAATAACTTATGATCCACATCAACAAACGTCAACCACTGAACATTAGGTTCCTGACTTAGGACAGGTGCAAAAAAGTGCAGCGGGTTTAAACGTTTTAATAGGCGCCAACCTTCACCCTACCTTCAGTCGATTCAATTAGTTTATGAAAAATAGTTGAACTGATTTGGTTATTAATTAAAGACGCTGAAATTCAAGCTTTAAAATGAAAATCTATCTTATATGCCATAACACGTCACTTTTCGGATGGTCTTTGTCTACAATGTACGTGGCCGCATTCGTATTTAGTCTCAATCTGAATATATGTTATGTCTTATCATCAAATACAACATATATTTAATATTAAGACTGAACACAAGTGCGGCCACTTCCATTTTAGACAAAACCTGTCTAAATATTAGCCAAAAAAATTTTGCATGAATTAATGATGCTAGTTCCTGATGAATGTGCATTGTATTGTAAAAAATCCCAGCCTTTATTTATGTAACAGAAGTATTTTACTTTACTTTATCTAAAAGCTAACGTTTTTAACAATTTGTACCAATGCTATATTTTGGGGCCTTACTTGGGTATTACTGGATCTACTCCTTTTGGATAAGACTCTAAAATATTCCAAATCCAGCATGTTCAAAAAGCTTTCCTAAGTTTAGAAAGAATCTTACCTCTTCACCAGGTGGATTGATCTACACACCATTCAAGCTGATTACCAGAACCAAATGGTTCATGTGCGGTATTGTCAAAACCTGACGTCTGTCGTCTGTCTTCGGCATGAACTTTGTCAAAAAAATCTTCTTGAAACTACTAAACTGATCACAGCCGTTCATTGCGTCTCTCCTTAAGAAATAAGATAGTTAGATCAACAAATACTGACATCAGATGAAAAGATCAGCAGATGAATTTTTTTTTACCAAGATGTTAATGCAACCAAGTTTTGAGTTATTACCCTTGATAGATTTTTTTTCTGCAAATTCCACAGTTTTGGCTTATTTCCTCGAAAACTTAGAAAGAAGGGAGACGCGTTGATAACAAAGAATTACCAACACGACAACATTTTCAAATGAAGCACATAAGGAATCGTTTGTCATCTTTTGTCTTTGAATAATAATTTTTATCCATTTAGTCGTTTTTTTCTTTAACCATACTTTCAAATACTACAATATATAAAGTGAAACTGTAAACATTATCACAAAAATCAAATCTACAAAGAATTCGACATGGCATAAATTGTTCGTCGACTTTTTATAGGGATTATTGCCCTTTAAGAACAATTTATACACTCAGACCAGCACGTGTTTCTGGAATTACCCTTAGACACACTTTTTCTGAAATAAAAAAAAACCAAAAAAACACTAAATAAAACAATCCATTAAACAATTGTCATCAGCATCGTAAAATCTCATTTTATTGGTACAAAATAAATAGAAAATACACCATCATAAACGTTTAAAATTGTTTATTATTATATGTAGGAATATCCTATAAGCTGTATTCGCCTTTTGAATTATTATTATTATGATTTAAGTTTTGCAATAACCTAACCTACTTAGAGTGGTACCATAGAACACTGAGAGCTCTCATGCAATGGTAACAACCCAATGGCAGTAACATAAACATGATAAAGTAGGTTATTTAGATCTCATTACAAATGTAAGCAAACTTAGTATCAAACTAAAAGTTCTAGTTCAAAAGATGTTCGCATTGTTTTCAGATTGTAATGATTTGGAAGAAGACATGGATCCTGCTGGTATGTTTAAAAAGTGATGATAGTTAAAGTTCACTTCCCTTGTCCATTATTTTTTACACTTCTTTTCACCGAGAGAAATGCTTTTGTTAAAATGAGTCTAATGAGATTAAAATTTTAAATAACAAGTAGTAATTTATCTAAATAACAATATCAAAGGTCCATATGAACTTACCTTGTGTTTATTAAATTTTTATTCCAATTAGGTGTCTATATGAAGATACATATTGTAACATAATCTTATAAAAGTAAATAAAGTGAACTTGATGTATAGGCAAGACTGTTGATTATGCAGGTAAATCACACATTAGGTTTAAAAATTCCCTGATGCAGATACATTTGCTCAACTGAAAATTAGGATTATTTGTCTTTAAAAGGAGGACAGTGGTTTGATGCAGTAATTCTACATGCCTTAGAGGATGAAACGGCTGCAAGACTTTGCCAGAAAATTTTACTGGAACAAATCAATGTTCCAAACCTTCAAATTGGTTTACCGGATGATATAATTACACCAGGCACATCAACCCTGGATGGATTAGGAAGTCTCATCTCAAATTGTAGACTTGTTATTATCTTTCATTCTCGATTTCTGTCAATGGATGGTTTAATGCTGTTTGGGAAACAAGCTAATATATTTCAAACATTAGAGGACCCACAGAAGAAGGACCGAATAATTCCCTTTATTGTAGACGGCGAGGATCTTTCACTTGATATGTGCACCATTCAACCGGTCATTTACGTCAATGACATAAGAAGTGCCAACTTTCCTAGTTTTAAGAACAAAATGGAACGACTATTTTTAATGTGGAGGGAAAAAATAGCATAGTGGAAACATTTTCACATACATTAAAAAGTATAGTAATTTGAATCAGTTTAGACTAGAAAAACTGACAAAATATCATATACCAAGTCACTACAAGACATGCATGCAACTCCCATAGGTTTTCGTGTTTACTATATATATTTACCGATTTTATCTTAAACCATGTTTATTATTGGGGAAAAGGAAAAAGATATTCTTTTGACATTGATGTATATCCAATTTTCATTGGATTGTATCTCAAGCGCAGCCTTGTTTTCAATTTCTTTTAATCTAACTAAAACTCATTGTTTAGATATTCATTTGATATCATTAAGGTTCAGAAGCATTTGTTATATGTCTCAAAATATGCCCAAAGATGTCTTAAAAGGTTGTTGATTGCTTTCGCAAATGTTTTATATTAAACATGAGAAGGCAGGGAATTTAAAAACAAAATAAAAAATCCATCAAAACTATTTTATTTGTGAAAAATGTCTTCCAAATCAAAACGTAGGGCTGAACAACATTTTTACAATGTTTTATGATAGAGATATTTTGTCGACATATTATTGTACATATAATTTTATATAGCATATTTGCTATGCCTCTTACGATAGGTATTATTCATTGTTTTTATGAACTTGATCACTATAGTAAATCATATAGAATGTTTCATAAAGGGATTAGGTACTGACAATTCACTCGGAAATCCAACATTTTGATTGAATAAAACTTGTAGTTATAAACTATTTTAAATTCAGTAAAGAAAATATCTCCTTCATGCAAATTAAAGCTCTAATGCCTTGTCCGGATTTGACTATAATACTTAAGGTTCTGTTTGGTTTTATCAGCTCTTCAACGTTTGTATTTGTATTTGAATTTTTAAATACTAGCCTCGCGCATCACTGCAAGTATTGATTTTCGAAATGCACATGGTTCATTTTTGCAAAAAAAAGCCTTGAATTTCAACTAAATCTTAAAACATCAAAATGGCCATAATTTGGTTCTTAAACAGATCTATTTTAAAGGCCTTAATGCTAGGTAAAACAAATATTTTCATAGTAATGAATTATAGACTCCGAAATCAGCTCATTTTGGAAATATTGTCAAAACAAAACAAGATGATTTAGTGCATTTTTCGGACAGAAAAGCTTTAGAAAAATCTTGCAAACTAAGATCTAAAATGGTCTGTAACCAAAAGGTTCCAATTTTAATATTGAAATCCTGTTACAGATCAGGAATGGCGGCCAGAGTGTAAATGTAACAGTACAAATAATGCATAATTCAGGGGTTTACTAATTTGTAATTTATAATGTAAGGTACAAAAAGAACTTATTCTATATTAATACTTATATCACATCTATTCTGATGTGCAATGTAAAGTAGTTTGGCTTGATTAAACAAAATACATTAAATCTTAAGGCTAAATCCTTTGTCAACCTACTCCTTTGTAGCGGTTATACTACTACATAAACATTTTCAATTGTAAACTCACATACAGATTGAAAAATCAGTCTAACCTTTTCCCTCATGAAACAATAGCTAACGGAAACAAAAATGTTGTCAGAAATTCAATGCATCAAATTGAGTAATTTCTAACCCTGCACATTGGTTGGCTATTATCATTTCTCCAGATTCTAAATGTAGGATGGGGCAGAATTCAGAATCTGTGGCATACACATATAATAAATCAAAGACGTGTAAATAACTCAAAGAAAGTGTAAACTATCATGTTATTCATCTACAACTACTTTTTAGCTCACTTGGCCCGAAAGTGAGCTTTTCTCATCACTTGGCGTCCGTCATCCGTCGTCGTCCGTCGTCGTCGTCGTTAACTTTTTACATTTTGAACTTCTTCTAGAGAACCACTGAATGGAATGAAACCAAACATGGCATGAATGTTCCTTATGAGGTGCTGACCAAGTGTTGTTACTTTGAAGCCGATCCATCATCCAAGATGGCCGCCAGCTGGGGACTTAGTTTAACATAGGACCCTATGGGAAATACATACAAATGTCTTCTTTTAGAGATCCACTTATGGAATGAAACCAAACATGGCCTGAATGTTCCTTATGAGGTGCTGACCAAGTGTTGTTACTTTGAAGCCGATCCATCATCCAAGATGGCCGCCAGCGGGAGACTTAGTTTAACATAGGACCCTATGGGAAATACATTCACATGTCTTCTCTTAGAGAACCACTTAATGGAATGAAACCAAACATGGCATGAATGTTCCTTATGAGGTGCTGACCAAGCGTTGTTACTTTGAAGCTGAACCATCATCCAAGATGGCCGCCAGTTAGGGACTAATTTTAACATAGGACCCTATGGATAATGCATACAAATGTCTTCTTTTAGAAAACCATTGAATGGAATGAAACCAAACATGGCATGAATATTCCGTATGAGGTGCTGACCAAGTGTTGTTACTTTGAAGCGGATCCATAATCCAAGATGGCCGCCTACGGGGGGCATAGTTTAACATAGGACCCTATGCGAAATATTTACAAATGTCTTCTTTTAGAGAACCACTGAATTGAATGAAACCAAACATGGCATGAATGTTTCTTTTGAGGTGCTGACCAAGTGTTGTTACTTTGAAGCCGATTCATCATCCAAGATGGCCACCAGCTGGGGACAGTGTTTAACAAAAGACCCTACCGACAATACATACAAATGTCTTCTTTTGGAGAGCCACTGAATGGATTGAAACCAATCATGGCATGAATGTTCCTCATGAGGTGCTGACTAAGTGTTGTTACTTTGAAGCTGATCCTTCATCCATGATGGCCGCCAGCGGGGGGGGACTTCCTTTAACATAAGACCATATTAGAAATACATACAATGAAACCAAACATGGCATAAATGTTTCTTATGAGGTGCTGATGAAGTGTTGCTACTTTGTTGCTGATTTACTGTTCAAGATGGCCACCAGGATTTTTTATTAACTTACAGGGCCAATATTAAACCAAATTTGGCCTCACTCATTATTAGGGTATCTGTTATGATTTTAATCTATTTTAACATGATTTCCAAAACCAAAGTAGAATCAGGTGAGCGACACAGGCTCTTGAGAGCTTCTAGTTATATGTTATGTTCGCTAAATGATAAAAATGTACGTCGACCAGCTACTGTTTTCAATAAAACTATACTTGCATAAAATAACATGGTTTAAAGAAGCATTGATGGTATTGAGAATGGAAACGGGAAATGTGTCGAAGAGTTAATAGCATGAGAGGCCCCTGATATGAGTTATTATTCTGGTTGTGAGTTTATGATTATATCACTTCCGCTCGTTACACATATGCAAATACTATCATATAAATGCTAAGTATGATAAATTAGCTCTTTCTTGTAGAATGTGAAATAAAGGATACAACAAATAGTGTGCTCCAAGTTCTTAATTGACAATGATGATCAGTTGAGAATCTTACTTTACGTTAATAGATATGATTTAAATTTTTAGATAGTGAACTTTTGAATACAATGAAAGAAAGGTGAAAGTTACCAAAGTGACATTTAAACTCATAAGTAGAAATATACTGACAACCCATTGGCTAATAAAGGAGGGACAAACAACAGTACACAAAACACAACATAGAAAACTAAAGACTAAGCAACACAAAAAACTGGGGTAATCTCAGGTGCTCTGAAAGGGTTAGCAAATACAATTTTCCAGGGCTTTCACATGTGGTACCCGTCCGGTTGATCATGAAAGTACAAACCAGGTGAAGAGTTTACGTCAATAGTTCTTACTAGAGCTTTCTTATAATTTGACCAAAAGTACGTACGCTTGACCAATCATACGCAAGACTCGTTTTAAGGATCCTTTTTTTTATGTATATATGTAATCTTAATCGAAGCGGCACGGAATTTTGATGGCGTTTCGTCTTAATGATTGCCTATTTAGGACCAGTACACTCTAACGACACGTGTTAAATTTGATTTTTCGTGCAATATAGGAATTTCCGGACGTATGGTCGTAAAAATATAATACAACCAAGGGGAAGGAGACAGGCTCATCTATGAAACCGTTCTTACTGTGTATAATTGTGTGTACGTTGAGCGACCAATATTCATCAATATTCCAAGCATGTTTACTGTTTAATAATCGTCTTTATTAAATCCAGAATATATATAGTGCATGATTGTAGATTTATTTTCTTGATATACATTGAGGTATAAAAATGTGTATGTAAATGGACAGTACCATAATAGGTTGCTCTATAATTAACTTGTTTGTTTTTCTTCTTTTTTTACCATTTATTACTTGTTGCTTGTGAACTATGGAACGTTCATATTATAGAACGACAATTTATCTTCAAGGTGGTGGTGGTGGGGTTTAGGGATTACTGTTTTTCCTAAAAATTATATTTTGATCCCCAATTTGAAGAAAAAAAATATTGTGGTCAAGCAGATGACAAAAAAAAAATATTCTGAATCCAGATTTTACCCATACATGTACCTAATAGTGTTAAATTTTGAAAAAATAATAATAATTGATAGCGTCGAAAAACTAAAAAAAGAATTTCAAAGTGCAAATATAAATCAATTGTTTTAAAAACAATTGTTAACGGTCTTTCCCCTCGGAAATATTGATTGTTTGGATTATTGATTGATTGATTGATTGATTGATTGATTGATTGGTCGGTCGGTCGGTCGGTCGGTCGGTTGGTTGACTGATATACCAATGAAACACATGCGATAGGGTCTCTTGGAACAAGCAAAAAAAAACAAATGAGATCTTGGACCCCGTATTAAACATATTTATTGATTGATTGATTGACTGATTGGTTGGTTGATTGGTTGGTTGTTGATTGATTGATTGATTGAAAGTTTGCATGGCACTTTCTCTATGAAAAGTATCGGGCTTAACGTCCATATTCTGACCGAACGTGGCTGCGTACTTATACAACCCGGACAGCCAAACGGACGGCCTGGATTTCCTAATGAATAACAATCCTTACATCTTCTTTTTATAAATTTTCTCTTTTTTCTATGAGAACTCGGACTTCATATTTTTTTTTATTTGTTGTGTGTGCATTTTGTTTGAACTTGTAGGAAAACTGAGTAACACTTTGACTTGGAAGTTTCACTTTCTATATTTGGATATGGAATGTTATTCTAAATTTAGGTCCGCGCGCGTGGTTGTGTTCGTGAAGTCACGTGACGCTCAAATATATATGTCTGGAGTATTAAAATCTTTTCAAGGGAGACCGTTGAACAGAGCACATGTGTATTGATAAGAGTAACACGATAACTATTGATTTTATTTTTACAGGTCATTGATGTCGGATCATGCATGCATTTTACGTACACATGTTTACGGGGGCACATATTTGTATTTTAATGCATGTTTAGAAATTTGATTGTAGGATTTCAGTAATATTTACGAACTTGGGAGCGATTTCTACGTCATTGTTTTTAATTTCTCAATCAAGCGCACCGCATGTGTATTTATAGTGCTAACGGGAATATATTTTCTTGATTCATTTTACCGATGAACTATTGTCTAATCGCTGACTGATCACGAGTCTTCATTCATTGCATGCACACACAAATAATGCTGTTGTTATAGTATTTTAACAAAACGTTTATCGATTAATTTCAGAAAATACATGAATTGGAGCAGATTTTTGCAGGGATGGATTTTTATTTCAGAAAGAAGTTTGTACATAAGAAGGATTAACATTTTACAGTAAAATATACGGGACTTAAAGCGATTTTCTTTTCATAGAAATGAGATAACTATAACAAAATCAGTTGGAAAAAAGGGGGGGAAGTGTAGTGGTAGACTGTGGTTGATAATTGAGATAAGAAACATTTACAACATGATAGCTTCAAAGTTTGAAGTTTTGATAAGTAATTTGTTGATTTGACCATTTCAGGAGCATTGACCCTGCAATAGAATGACGCGTACCATTTTCACTAAAAAAATCCAGAAAGGACATGTCGCGACAAACACTTTGGTTACATTGTTTTGTCGATATCTGTAACTCTTTCTGGGAAGAAGCGATATGAATTCAACGTAAAAAAATCAGAACATTACCTTGACCTTTGACTTTGACCTAATTTTCTTTCTTTTTTTTTTTGGACCAAAGACCTCAAATCAAAAGACCCTAGGTCTCTATCACTTATGAGTAATTTGGTAAAATACATTTGTCGCTTTTTTACGGTTACGGAGGAGATGCAATAACAAGCAAAACAGTGTTCGGGGAGATAAATCCTACATAGAAAATTATTCGGTTAAGCAGGGTTTATTTTAAGGGTGCATAAACTGTGCGATATCATATACCAAACATCAAAGCGACATCTTGCAAAACAAAACAAAAATAAAAAAACGTTTACCAATTTTCAAAATGATAAGCGAGACTTCATTCCCCATCCTGAAACTAGTGTTCAAATTGTTGTAATTTGAAAGAAGCATCCTAGAGCTTTTGCAAAACATTTAAAAAAGATGATTTGTTTTTGTTTATGTGACTGTCAAAGTCCCATAACTGCGGAGTAACATACCAGAATTTTGTTTGACATTCCCTATATCCATTCTCAATTTTATTTAATTGAACTATGTGTCATTATACATTTATGTAAAATTTTCAGTAACCAATCTAAACAAACAACTGGTGGTACACAATGTGAGAAAAAGAGGACTTACAACTGACAATCAAACCCTGTAAAGCTAGAAAATTCTATATATCGGAAAGGAGCTTCTTTTTAATAATTCTAACAATAATGTCAATTTCTGAGTAAACCACTGGAGTTAGTGAGATATGTGAAACATTGCCTTAAATTTAACGACAAAGCCAACACTTTTCAAAATGGAGAAGAAACTTTCTTCTGTCGATTCAAGTACAAAATGTATTGTTTGTTTAGATTACATGATAATTGGTCGAATCAAATTGGATTGATTGTTCTAAGTGTAGACTGAAAAACGGACGAGCAAACTATGGTAAAATTTTGTCAAAGTTTTTCGAATTGAAGTTTTGGTTTAAAGGTTGATAACTCGCTTTTACAAACAAACACAACTGAAAATATATATAAAACTCTTAAGTACATAGATTAGGTGTTTATACTTTGAATTTGAGTAAAGGCTTAAAATTAATTAAACTATAATCAGTTAATACCTTTATTTTGGCATTGCATAATGTCATGTTTTTCTCTGACTGTTAATGACGTCTTTACACTTTAACCATTGGATCTTAGATGTGTACTGATTGATATTCCTATTTTAGATACATGTTTTTATTAGTTGTTTTTGGCTTTGAACTAGCTGTCAATAATTGCGAGTACTCTCAGATATGTACTTAGCGTCCGTTTTTTAGTTGTTAGGGATGAGGGATGGATATACATGTATACCTTGCCACGTCCTGTCTGTTTTTGTTTGATGTTTTTTTTTTTTGTATCGATCTGACGAGTTAAGTTTAATTGATTTTTATAGTTTGTTTTTATGGTGTGATGTAACAACACTGTCTTAGGTTAGGAGAGGGTTGAGCGCTCACAAACATGTTTAACCCCTGCAATTCTGTATAAGTCTGTCCCAAGTCAGGAGCCTGTAGATCAGTTGTTGTCGTTGCTTCATGTCTGTCATATTTGTTTTTCTTAAATTGTTTTGTTATAAATTAGGCCGTTATTTTTTTAATTGAATTGTTTAATATTTTTCCTGCCGGGGCCTTTATAGCCGACTATACGGTTTGGTTTTTTCTCATTGTTAAAGGCCTGACGGTTGCCTATAGTTGCTTACGTCCTTTTCGTTTGAACTTTAGTGGAGAGTTGACTCATTGGCAATCATACTACTTCTCCTTATTTTTATATTGATATAATATCAGGAAAAATTTGTCCTATTCCTATATCTGAAATATTTACTAATGAATGTAATGCAACAAATTCAACTATTAATTATATGAAATGGTAAAAATTCAATATGATAATGAATTCTTACTTAAATTAGCAAAGCGGTGTTTGCCCATTAGCAGCTAATGCATTTCGATTAAGCTTTTTAATTTAACTACACGCGTGTGTTTACAAAATCTCAGGTTAGCACAAAATTCAAACTATGATCATGGTAGTTTTTAAAAAATAAGGCATACTTATCTTACATTCAATTTGGTGGTTTGCCAGGCCTTTTGTACAGTCACGTAATGTTTTTGTGATTCTTGCTTTCCTTTTTATATTCAAACATTTGATGTGTTTTCTGGCTTTCTTTTTATTGCAAGTCTTTTCTATAAACAATATCGTCTTGTTGTACTTGATAGGCTACTTGTTTGCTGCATTGAATTTCGTTTTGAGTCTTTCAACTTAAGTTTGGAGGAATGTAAATGAAAAAAACGTAAAGTTTGTATTTTTATTTAAGTAACTTTGAAGGCAGAAAAATGAAAATAAATAAAATTATTAGATTACTGGCAAAAAAAAAAAAAAAAGATATATCTAGAATAATTATGATTTCATTTCAATTATTCTTTTTTTTTTTCTTTTTTGGTTTAGCAATTATGTTAATGCTACAAGTATTTAACAGTTTAATAGTAGCTTTACAAATGAAGTTCAATTGACAAACCTGACATTATATACTTGTATAATGAAATGAGTAAATACAGGTATCAATATATCTGTTGCAACATTTATGTCAAATATTAGTTGCAAATTATTAAACCATAATGTGAAAATATTTGTCGAGTGAGCACAATGAAGGAGTTAAAAAGTCTTGTGCATCATATTTTATCGAAAAGCTGATATTTCTAAATATCAATATTGTAATGACAATCGTATACTCAAATTAACAAATTGAATGTGTGTGTTTTGTTTGTGATTGATATCTTTTCTGTTATTAACAAGGAAACCGGAAAAAGCTCAGGTAAAATATACAAATGTTTAGTCAAATATAATAACATCGGTGATAAGTCTGGGTTTGTGTAATTAAGGCCGGGTCAATGATGTCACAAATCCTTATTGGCGATTTTTATGAAAACCTAGCATAGTGATACAGACTGGAGGTACATAGTACAGCGCAGTTGCATTTCGTTAATGTACTCTCGAAGGCAGCCTATTTTTTCTAATAGAATTAGAGTAGTTCACGATTAACGGGATCTTTTTTTTATAATTATGATAACTTAGGACACACCTTTGATGAAGTTAGCGGCAAAAATACAAATAGGCATGTATGATATTGTTAGCCACCCGGATTATCATGTCCTTAACAGGACAGTTAACTTATGAACGCTCATAAAATGCCGCTTCTGCTCCCGAAGCATCTCTATATGTATATAAAACAGTTTGCTATAGGTCTGCTCATAGAAACCTATTTGTGTACTAAACGGCTTCCTGCATTTGTGTGCTATTCGTGCTACTAACGGCTTTGCATAGTTTCTAATTTTAAACGAGCGTCGATAGGTTTACCAATGTAAATGAATGTTCAACGATTTGACTCAAATTCTCATATTTGATTTATAACATACACAAACGTATATCCAAATTATAAAATCTAAAATAAACAGTTTACGATGCCTGGGTTTGATAATATGAATCAGCATTTCGTGTGTATTTTAGTCTTGACGTAATCTATTGAAACATCGATTTCACATCCGAAGACTGCCGACGGTCATATAACCCAGTATAAACATAAAATCCATATAAATAGAAAGCGAACTCGTGCAATTGGATTTTTCTAGGTCTGTTTGATTTCATATTATAGGTTAAAATATATATTAATCATTGCTTTTACCTGTATAAGAATTGTTTTTTTTGTAAGTGCCACGTGACCTACTGCTACAATGGTTACTGATCTTTTCAAAGGAAGCAGCACTATATAATATTAGGATATTGAAAAACATGGAATTGATATCATCTCAAATTGTCCTGTGATTGTCATTTAACAGAAAATATTAACACTTAGCTAATGAGCTCATAATAACTATAAAATAACTTAAAGTACGCAATCGGACACCACTGCGTGCGCATCGATTAAGCAGACGATATATGCAGGTACGAACACAAGTGAACTATATACAATATAGTTTCAAGAAATCGTTCTCAATACGATAATTGGTAGTAAATTTATACAGAAAAGGTAACTAAGAGAAATTACACCCATCCACTTCTGTGACACCTGTAAAAAATGTAAACAGATAAAACACGTACTTACATCCGGTATTTCACACATTAAACATTTGATTAACTGGATAATTATCGTCATCATTTCAAAATTATGTACAAACATGACATGGAAATTTATATTTTAGCAGATGAAATGCCTCCCCTTATACTTGGTAAACAGTTGAATCTTGACTAGTGATATTACTAAAAATAGTGGAAAACTGCCACACATGTGGATATCAGTGTAAAACATTTTTCATGCTTGCTAAGAATAAAGTATATATAAGTATACTTATTCAAAGCCACCCTACACAATCTTATACATTGAATACTGTCGAATCAGCGAATATAACATGTATAACAAAGACAGATTATTGAAAACATCGATTCCAATGATAAATAGTATATATGAAATGTATTCGCCGCACGTCTGTTTCGAAATTACTTTTCACTGTAATACACTGTAGTGTATCTTCACTCGTAACTGTCTAGAGTTCACTTGTTTAATTATAAACTAAAAAAAATATAGATAAACTAATGTTCAAACGTTGCGTTGACCTGAGATGAACTTGTCTATTATTTTCATGTCCCTTTTTGGTCTATGGATTATACATCTATGGCTTTGAAATGTTATATAAAATTATATATTATGGTGTTAGCCCTGCAAAAATTACTGGTTTTCCAATGAAGAATGTCTGTTATAAAGTTGTCACGTGTTTAGACTGATATATATATATATATACAAAAAAATATAAGAACGCATAGTGAACATTTAGCGCCGACATTATAGCCCATGTTTAACCCGGGTTATTGCGTTCACATGTATTTCCGATTTCCATTTTAGCGAAAACATACCACGAATCATCAGCTTAGTAGGGCTTCGGTACTGAAATTATTTGTATGCATTACATATTTTTCCATGTTATCTTGAATTGGCCGTTTATAAACTTATAAATTGACCTTAGATAGATTTTGGCTATTCTTTGTAGATCATTTGGCCTTAAAGTTCCTCATGTAATCAAGTGCTTATACATCCTTGGTTTTCAAAGTTTTTGGTTTAATAATTCCTAAAGAAGGTAAGGACAGACAAGTGCTTAGAACTCACTCAATGTATAAAGCGTTATCTTACATATGTATTATATTTTATGGACAGACGTTTGAATCAACTTGCCTTTCAATCTATTGAATTTGTATCGATAATTTAAACATTATTATATTGTCCCGTATGTTCTTCCATTTATTTGTATTGTAGTCCTGTCGTGTAATGTTGTCCTTTTAGTGTTAAATTTAACATTGCCATTAAAGCGGGAGGTTTGGCTAGCCACAAAACCAGGTTCAACCACCATTTGTTTCTTAAAATGTCCTGTACCAAGTCAGGAAAATGGCTATTGTTATCTTAGTGTTTGTTTCTGTGTGTGTTGCATATTAGTGTTTCTGTTGTGTCTTTGTTCTCCTCTTATATTTGATGTGTTTCCCTCAGTTTTAGTTTGTAACCCGGATTTGTTTTTTCTCGATCGATTGATGAATTTCGAACAGCGGTATACTACTGTTGCCTTTATTTATATTCAGTTTTGAAAAAATCTCCCTTGTACGACGTGTATTGTGTCACAATTTGTTTACGGAATGAATTAACTGTAAAACCATTTTTTTCGTTTCATTTTACTTTTTTATTAAATTTATTATCATAAAGACTGTTGACACTTTTTGTGTAAAATATCACACACTTAAATGAACTTATAAGAAGCAAAAAAACAAAAACTGTGATTCAAATGCAGGTTTAATAATCTATTATGGTTATAACAAATTTGATCGAGTCATAATTTAGTGCGAATCGGGAAATTAACAAGTGATCATTTTCACATGGCGAAAATTAAACAGAACATGAATCATTAATTTCTCAATTCGTGCTATGTAGGGAGTGATATATATATATATATAAATATATATAACGTTGTTTTCAATTTAGACTTATTCATAAATATATATACATGATATATATATATATGGACACAGTGCAGGTCAAGTTGTCACGATGTCACAGAAGCAAGGGTGCAAGTCCTGCAAGTGGTGAAAGAAACTTACTATCGGCTACCAATAGTCAATTTCAATCATCATTATACCTTTATCTTTACTAAATTAAACAGTTGCACATACCTTTTCTGTAATGCTAGTTTTGTACCGATTTTTACGAATGAAATAAAAAAAGTTACTGATCGAGTTTGATTTTGTCCGGTTGAGAGAATAACAAACCTACATACATGTATTTTAACCAGTAATAACATTTTATCAATTTACAAAATTAAGACTCATTTTTCTGCATCTTTTAAATTTTCACTATTTTCGGTGTTATAAATTCGAGATTCAATTTTATTTCACCGAATTTCCTTTCTCGATTGCTTGCTATTTCCTTTAGCTAAATAGCAAAGCACGATATAATGTTTGCTGGATGATCGGAGTATTATCAAAATAATATTTTTTGAACCATTATTTGGTCCACATGAACTGCTGAAAATCTGCATAGTATTCTAAATTTGTGTATAGCTGGAATAAGGTCAAATGCAGAACCCGAAAAAAAAAATTAAAATCTGAACTCATTTTACCTCTCATTCCACCAAAAATAAAAAAATATGAAAATACAAGTATCAGATTTTTTTCGTGAAACTCATAATCTTTAAAAAAAACAATCTTTCATTCAAAATATTTCTGAATGATACAAAAAAGCAAAACACTTCTCGCTACCTTTCGAAATTTGAATTTGAAGATAATGATAAAGAAGAAATGTCAAGTTCTATTTTTATCATACACGTGTTACTGTGTAGTTTCAGTTTCACCAATGATTCTAAATTTGAATTTTACTTTCCCAAAAAATTGCGTCCGGAATAAGAGACGACTGTTAAATTTTTGCACTTTTGAATAAAGTAAAACACTGCGGTTGAATGAAATATATATGAAATATGTAATAAAACTTTCAATTGCATTCATATACCTTAATACTCAGCTGTGTGTCAATATGAAAAGTAACATGCCATCGTTCAAGTTCTAGATCAACACACACAAATTTCACATATTATATTGTGATTCGTTCCTTACAATTTTCAGCCACTGTATGTATTTCATATAAAACTACGGTTTTTCAAATAAATATTGGAGGATCATTACTGGTTGGACTTTTACAAATTTGGAACCAATAAAGGAAGAATTGTCACAGGTTTGTTTGTTTATTTGGTTGCATTTTCTGATGATATAAACACAATTTTTACATTGTACCGTCTGTGGTGTGTCTGAAACGGAGAAAGAGAGGATAAAATTAACAATACAGGATACTTAGATTTCTGATAATTTCTTTGAAGTTTTGAGATATCAAAGACATACGTGTTTGAACTGATGATGAACCACACGAAGTCGTTTTTCGCTGGTGTAGCGATTTTTTTCTTTCTCAGAGTAAGGGAGATAACTTGCGTAACTAACGACACACGTTTATAACCTACATTACGCTAGAGTCGTGCAATTACATATACTTCACCTTAACAATACTTATGTGTGTTTGGGTTCACATGGAACTAAATTAAAACCAATGAAAAAAATGTAGGTGCAATATGTGACAGATTTCTTTAATAGATTGACACAGTATTTAAAGCTTAAGAAATCCAGTAAGATAAAGAGGAAGAACAGTTCGTACTGCAATTTTATGATCAATATTTGAGCGGAAATATATATAGCCCCATATGTCGGATCACTGAAATATAAATACCAAGGTAGACATGGGGAGAATAGTTTTATTATTATTAAGATAAAAAATAAGTTTCATTGTATAGTTAATTCAGATTTCTTATGCTATATTGTAATGATATTTTGATATTGTGCTGATTTAGCCTCTTCTATTTTGTAATCAAACGGGACAGTTTTCTTTGTTATGTGGGCTTTGATAATTTGATGTTTCGCTAATTTGGTTAACACTATGGCGCTAAAATGGGATATTCAAAATGTCTAACCGATTCGCTAAAATGTCCATCTCTAGTATATTATAGATGACTGTGCTTAGATTTATTTGTGATGATTAAAACTAAAGCAATGTGGAACTGTACAATATATTCATCATCAACTAGTACATTTTGAATTGAAGATTAGTATTTGTATTCAATCATCAATAAACATCAAAGACCAAAACTGATTTTCCCCATTCATTGACAATATATAATTTAGTATAATTTTGGCTGAAGCACAATGCGACCGGTTTGTTGATTCCATGCTGAGACTGCAGTGGTATATCTAAAACCTTTAAATCCTGTTTCAGTCGGTGTATATTGTTCGAACCCTGTCCGCTAACGTAGAAGTATCCATATTCGTCCTTGCATATGTCAGTTGGTTTATCCATGGTGGCAATACTACAGTTTCTCGGAGTTTGAGATTGTTGACTGTACGTGATGCAGTTCTGACCTCCTTTACAAGAAATTGACGTATAGTCATTAACTGCATAGAACTTAATAGCGTGGGAACCAATTAGAAATCTTTGTCTAGGTGATATGTCTGTAAGATTACTGAAATTATTTAAAATTAAATATCATGAAATTGAATATTGAAAGGTTTCCTGTAATGTTTAGCATTATTTGATCGAACAGTCTTTTAATAGTTCTACTTAACCGTAATAGAAATTATTTCTTCATAATATTGAGTAAATATACTCACCATAGACGCCATACGTGCATTTCAAAGAGAGATGGAAAATACCAAACGTATCTTCATAATAAGTTTGTTAAGATCTGACAATGTCATGGCAAAAAAACGAAAAACGACCAAAAGTCAAACAATAATATACAAAAAAGATGTTAGAAAACACGAAGTAGTAAAAATTGAAGTATTTCTTTCGATGGTGTAAAATAAGTATCCTTCACATGATGAATATCTTCATTATGAAGGCAATATTATCTCTTTAAATCTTTGTTTTTATAGGCAGAAAAAAACCCAAATGAGTACTACATGTGTACCTGTATCAATCGAAATATGACTTTTAAAATATATGCGTGCCACTTTCATGGGACATCTTTGGGAAAGAGCAATACTTGTGAAATGTGTCCTGAATTCGGCCACACAATGAAATCATGGTCATGCAGATTAATACTCAGTATTGTATTTGTTGTTGACAAATCGATTCAGGGTGTGAGAAAAATTTTGCAAAAAGTAAAACAAAAAGATATTATTGTGTATCTTGCACCATTTAACATAAATAAAGAAAACCCCAAAAAAACCAAAATCCAACCGAATTCCAAGGAAGTTGAAGTCCATAAAAACTGACAAAATCAGACGCTATCAATTAACTAAAACTACATTATGCCTGACTTGTTACAGGTATTCCCGGAGCAAATGGTGGGTAAAATCTGGTTTTATAGCTAGCGAAACCTTTTTAAAAGAAGCAGACAACTAAATATCATTAATTATAAGTTTCCAAACAACATATGGAAGTTATTGGTAATTGTTAAGGTTATGGAAGTCATCGATGTCTTCTGCTAACTAGACACCTTTCATTTTTACTATGATCAAGAATTTTAAATCATAAATGATGCAACATAAGAACATTTTTTCAGGGTTTAATGTAATATTTGATAACAGTTACTGCAAATAAATTGATCAATCTTTTATATTAAAAAAACATAATTTTATAAATCAATTCATGAGATTTGACATATATTGTTTATAATGAGAAGCCTGCTTCGAGTGTCTGGATACCCTAAAGATTTCGTTTTGTCCATCTGTGCAACAACAGCTTATATGAAAGCAAAGACTTCAAAAGTAAGGGGTAGGACAGACATATAGTTTTGTACGATTGTTGTTCATAGTATGTGAAAATTGGAAAATTTAATTCTGAAGAAACTGAGTTTATCAAACAAATTACAAAGTATTAGGAAATACGTTTTGTGAATGCAAAATCGCTAAAGGTATAAAATGAAGTGTCGCCCAATGTTGTACAGTTGAAGAGTTTGATATGTAGATGTTTATAACTTTTTTTGTCCAAATTGGAATAGAAATATTGAGGTATAATCTAGTTTATTTTTAATAAAAGAAATCACAAATTGAAAATAAAACAACACATATCTATGCCCGGAATTCAACGATGAGTGATAAATGTGTATGATACTCTATTCCAAATTGGGTCCACTTTTCAAAAAATCATCCGTCTGCCGCCTTTTTTTTCAAATGGATACCAAAAGTGATATATTCATTATATTGTTATAGTGCTCGGATTTTTGTCTCGCCACGACGAAGTAAAAAAAGCGAGACTATGGCGTGCTCTTTCCGATGGTGGTGTCTTTGGTGTCAACAATGCATACGTTTGTGATTAGATCAGTTGCAGGGGAACCACTAGTGGTAGGTCAATGATATTTGGTGTGCATTTGTATAAGTAGTGAAACATCTGTTGTGCATGAAGATTATTTGACTTACTCCCTCAAACATGCCGTGTGGAGACAGTAGAGTGCCCCCCCGTGCTTCAGGTTTATGCTCTTATAATATACTAGATTATGGAGTGTGTGTCCGAGCGAGAACTTCTCTAGTTCATTACTTTAGGAATATTTATCAAAAAGTAGTATTTCAATATTCAGCCCCATTCTACTATTTAGTCAGACGTCAGTCGCTACCCTGATATACCCTTTCTTTTTCGGGTAATTAATACGGATAGCGTTTGACATCTTTAGCCGAACAGATTTATCATTTTAACATAATTCAATTCATTGTATGCTGGTTCATATTCTGGACGCCAGTCTTTGCTCCTTTCTAACATAATTCACAAACAAAAAACAAATATGAAGCTTAGAAATGGAAAAATATTAAATACTAAACTCGTTCAAAGGGTATCTACACGTCTCAATCTTCAAAATCGCTTATCTAAAAATACTACCATCGCTAACATTTTTAACAATAAAAATCGTGGTTACCCTTCTATCGATAAGTGTCATGCCAAAAAATGACTTACATGTCCCCGTCTTTCCACCAACAATACGGTAAGGTCCTCGTTTAATGGTCGCACATTTTCTTTAAATTTTGAAACTGATTTAACTTGAAAAACAAACAGTATTATTTATTTACTCACATGAAACAAACCGGGATGCGGTATTCAATACGTAGGTGAAAATGGACGATATTTATCTAAACGCACTCAAGAACATCTGTATCGTTTTAAAAGACCCAATAAATTCAAAAGTATCATTTATCAACACTTTAAGAAGCACAATCATCCTATTAAATATTTAGCAGTTCAACCTTTAGAAGTAGTACATAAGCAGCCTGGTGAATCTCATTCAAAGTTTGTACGATCACGGAAAATAATTGAATTAAATTGGATTAAAAAATTACAGACAGTCTACCCTCTCGGTCTTAATGATAATATCATGGGAATTGGTAATATATCAAGAACCGATTCTGTTAACATTTTGGATATAGTTTCTAAAACTGTTCGTAAAAACCGTTCTCATGGTCGTAGAAAAAATCGCAATCAAAGAAAATTTCGGACCAATCATACCAATATTTCGGACCTTATTTCTATTTCAAAAAAACAACGGCAGACATTATCTGTTAACAAAGCTCTGTTCATTACCGGTTGATAAGTTAAATAAAATTTTAGAGGATTGCAACACAATTTCATATAGCAGTCCTAAGTATGAAATCGTTCAAATTATAATGGCATATTGTTATTCTAAACTGTTTCCCAAAATTGATCGCCCTGAAGATCATCAAAAACAGTTTATTAAAATAAAGTATGTCAATAAAGGTTTTGGTTTTGTAAATATTGCCGGTATTTTTAACGACCATTCTGTTAAAAAACAAATTCCGGGATATTTTGATAATACTGAGCTTCCTCTTATTTGTTATATTTACAAGAAATCTACCCGGAAATTTGTGTTTAATTATAGCCAATTGTGTAAAGATGTTAATATCAGTGAAAATACACCTACTTCATGCAATTGCAGTAATTCCGAATACATTTATGGACCCATTTCCCATGTTATAACAGGAGATCTTAACATCGTTCAAGACCGAGAGTTAAAATCATTCCTCAGTAAAGGACCTAAATATCGTCCCCCGTCAATTATTAATTGGAATGAGTGTCGTAATATCATCCACGACTCACTCCATACTTACTGTTTGAAATGGATAAAACGGGAAAAAGCTGACAAAAAATCTTTGGACTCTTTTTTTAATTCAGTAATGAACATAGTTGATATACGTATTCAACATTTTAAAGAACATTTTACTCTTAACAATAACCACAATAAACCTATTTCTCGTATCAAACATAAACTAAAAGAACTAGCCAAGGAATTTGTTTTTGTCCCGGCCGATAAAGCTGCTAATAATATTATTATTGTTTGACGTAAATTTTACATTGAGGTTCTGAAAAAAGAAATCACCAATTCACCAACATTCCAACTGACTCCATTTTCAGAAAACGACATCTGTAACAAACACAAATTTAATAATACTTTTAGATATTTGGATGATATTTTGGCTCTCAATAATGACGACTTCAGTATGTATACTAAAGAAATTTATCCTGTTGAACTTACTTTAAATAAAGCTAATACTAACAATGACCACTGCCCTTTCCTCGATCTTGATATCTATATCATTAATGGAAAGCTTAATACTAAAATATATGATAAAAGAGATGATTTTTCATTTCCTATCGTTAATTATCCATTTTTAGATGGTGACGTTCCCTTGTCACCATCTTACGGTGTTTATATATCTCAACTTGTACAATTCGCTCGTGTATGTAACAATGTTTTAGATTTTAACGAGAGAAATTTATGTATTACTGAAAAATTATTACACCAGGGTTTTCGATATCACAAACTAGTCAAAACATTCACTAAATTTTATCATCGGTATAAGGACATCATTCGTAAATATAGCTCAACATGCAGACTTCTTATACGTTCAGGTATTTCACATCCAAATTTTTATGGAAATATTCTTTATAAAGCACAAAAATGTCAGTATTCACCTCTGAAGCTAACAAAACCTTTAAATAGACTTATTAAGAAGGGATATAGTTACGATACTGTTGTCAGGTCATTAAAGATTGCATATTTTGGCGTTAATATTGATTCACTTATAGGGTCTTTGCATCGGCACTAAACACATTTATTTAAAAACCAGTTGTTGGCATGACACGGGTTATGTTCTTCTCATATATGTTATGATGGTATGATACGAAACCCCTAACGGGAAGGATTGTGCCTGATATTCATATGATGAAGACATAATCTTTCAATCAGTTTAATTGAAGTCTGGAGCTGGCATGTCAGTTAACTGCTAGTAGTCTGTTGTTATTTATGTATTATTGTCATTTTGTTTATTTTCTTTGGTTACATCTTCTGACATCAGACTCGGACTTCTCTTGAACTGAATTTTAATGTGCGTATTGTTATGCGTTTACTTTTCTACATTGGCTAGAGGTATAGGGGGAGGGTTGAGATCTCATAAACATGTTTAACCCCGCCGCATTTTTGCGCCTGTCCCAAGTCAGCAGCCTCAAGCCTTTGTTAGTCTTGTATTATTTTTAATTTTAGTTTCTTTAGTGTACAATTTGGAGTTTAGTATGGCGTTCATTATCACTGAACTAGTATATATATTTGTTGAGGGGCCAGCTGAGGGACGCCTCCGGGTGCGGGAATTTCTCGCTGCATTGAAGACCTGTTGGTGACCTTCTGCTGTTGTCTGTTCTATGGTCGGGTTGTTGTCTCTTTGACACATTCCCCATTTCCATTCTCAATTTTATTTATTGACTTTGAAACATTTGTTTAGTTTATTTTAAAGTTTGTGATTGGGTATGTTAAAGGGGAGCCTTAAGTGGTAGGTCGATGATGTTTGGTATACAGTCGCATTAAATTGGCAAATGTATTGCCATAGAAAGCTATTTGACTACGTCTCCTCAGTCATGGCTCACTGATTTTTGTAACTTTTGCATAGTTTGAGAATATGCCAGTTGAAGACGAACCACTGATGGTTAATCAATGATATTGGATACGCAGTTGTATTAGCATTTGCACGTTTTCTATTCATCGAGATAATATGGCGCAGTCCTCTAACCATGGCTCATTGACGTCAAGCCCTCTCATCATAGTTCATTGACTTTTAAACATTTGCATAGTTTTTATGTTGAAGTTTGAGATTAGATCGATTGGAAGGGAACTCAATTACCAATTATGATAAGTCAATTTGGTATGCAGTGGAAAAGGAACGACCTTTCCGAATTTCACGAAGGTTATTTGGCACTGCACCTGCAGGCATGGGTCATTGACTTTGAAAGTTTTTTTTTTGCCATATTATTTTCAACATTTGCATTATACTATTAAAATTATGTAAAGGCGAACCAAATCTCAGTGTCAACAGTGTATTAAGACATATGAATATTACGTAGAACATGTTGTCAAGAATAAATTGTTAGTGTAAAAATCATTCGACAGCGGTCATTTGTCAAGCTTATAGCAATTATACGCAAATATTAAAAGTGCACGGATTTTGAAGTAATTTGATATCGAGGTTAAATATCATATCATGAATATATGGTGTAATGAACAATTAAATTAAAGTCATATGATACTTCAAATGAATATGTTTTATATACTTATATGGCTAATTGGACTTTCTTGTAAAATTAAATCCTTCAACATGCGAAACATATTTCTGTGTCAGCAGTTTATTAAGATTTTACTGAGCAATTGCAAGGGCAAAACCGTGATTAAAGAATGCAAACAAACTAATCCTCGAAGGTAAATAGTAATAATGGATTTTAAAGAAAAAATTTAATGCACCAAATCATTTAACAAGTGATAGGAAAAAGTGTTGATGAAAACAATAAAACGCTTTACATACATGTAGCTCTATCAATTCACTTTTCATGTGCTCCATGAGTCTGTGTTGATTGTATATCAATGTCACGATGGCAACAAACTCGAAAGTTAATGAGCTTGGGATCAACAATAACTAAATGAAATATTATTTGTTGATTACAGTTTCGTAATAAATGTAACAAACGTGCATAGAGGACTTAGTTTAAATTTTACGGACCCCATCACGAATAACCGTTTCACAGATGATATCGGATATGTTCCTTATGTCGTAACTGCAATAACCTTCCCTTTTCACGAATGTTACCTACCGAATTAGACTATTTACCGGATTTGTAATAACATAAGCAACACGACGGGTGCCACATGTGGAGCAGGTTCTGCTTACCTTTTCAGAGCACCTGAGTTCACCCCCAGTTTTTGGTGGGGTTCGTGTTGCTTAGTCTTTAGTTTTCTATGTTGTGTCATCTGTACTATTATTTGTCTGTTTGTCTTTTTATTTTTGGCCATGGCGTTGTCAGTTTGTTTTCGATCTATGAGTTTGACTGTCCCTATGGTATCTTTCGTCTCTCTTTTAGTATATACGCATGCTTTGGTTCCATAATTTCCTTAACATAAAAATTTCAAGAAACTCGTTCTATATGATTTCATTAACAGAAAATAAAATTATGATGTTATCTATAGATGTGGGGTCAACGTTATTTCTGGAAAAAAAAACAAATTCTGGTTTTCAGATAAAAAACCTAAATAATATCATTTAATATATGTTTCGCTTGTACCACGAAATCAACGAAAATTAATATTCAACGAGTTTTTCTGCGATATTAATTTTTTGTGTTACTTTCTTCCACGAAAAGCTGCTACTAGAACCTTTGCTATTATGTGAGTTTTCTTATTATTGAAATCCTATTCAATCGTTTTTTTTTTTCAGTATCACTAATCATGCTAATTCTTGCCTTGTTCACACGAATTCTTCCACAAATCTTGAAATGAATACCCTTAAATAATTTGGAAAAATATGTTTTGTACACATTTTTATTTGTTTAGTGCCTTTTGAAGATTAAGTGTATGATCGTATTTTTTTTTTTAAAGTCATACATAATTAGCATTGCATGCTGGTCTTTTAAAAGCATTGCTCTTAGATGTTCGTATTAGCACAAGCATACATATTGTTGCTTCATTATTCGATTGGAAGGTTATAAATGACGTTTTTATATGTTATTTTCTTTCAGAAAAATAGTTCTATATATAGAATATTTATTGTGGATAAAGACTTACATGTTTTCTTCGCCATTGTTGTTAACAACAGGGACTGCGTACATTGAACTATGTAGTGTAACGCCAAGAATACATGGCATTGCCTCCTCCTGCTCAGAAAACAAACCCATTGTAGTTTTCGGGAGTGCTGACACACAAAACACGGAAGTACTTAGGTCGTTGCATGTTGATTTGCAGAGCAAAACCATTCTGTCTGGATCTATTTGTAATACAGATCTGGTGTTAGGTTGAGTAACATATCCTATATTTTTACTTGTAATAGCCAAATCATAAGGTTCACTGTCTACGATAAGCTTCCTTAAAAAAAGTCAAAGAGAATCTACTAGAATTAGATTTTTATTATCATAGTCACACAATAAAATGTTTCCCTCTGTTGAAGCTGCAATTCCAGTAATTCTGCCAAAGTCATGGTTGAATGAACAGTTGTAAGAAAATGTATGTCTCATATCTCCTTGTACTGCTAAAACTTGTGCCGTCTCTAGAATATTTCGTAAAAATGATTATGCTTTTCAATTAAAAGTAATTATAATAATATTAATAATAATGATCATAACAATGAAATTTTTTAAGAACAACATGAACAAATAATGATTATGATAATGGAAAACAATTTTATAACAATTATATAAATAATAATAATAATATTATAAAAATGATAATCATACATGAATACATTCGGCTTTGAGCGTTCCTATTGAAGTTAAATCAAGGAAATCGCTTCGGACGCCTACACTTTATAAACTTCTTCTCCATTTATGATTTAAATTAATTTTCAGGTTTAACATTTCTGAATTTCCAGTTTTAGCATATAAATATTTCCCGACTATTATCATTATAAACATATGATAAATCTGACTGAATATTTCTGTGTTTTGCTTTTGAGTCTACTGGCACTCCATTTGCGCCAAACAAATCTTTCATTTCCGCCACAAACCATATTCCATTTGCGCCAATAATACAGGTTAATATATAATACATTGTAATATAAGACAATAGAGAATTTTAATAATATCAACTTTGAAACACAGTGTTTGTTTGCATAATAAAAATATTCATCCGAAATCAGTTATTATAATCGTAATTGAAAGCACCAAACACTAATAAGTTCTTAAAAAGAGGCTTTTTATGCCAGTAACAAGTCAGGAATATGACAGTTGTTTTTCCATTAGTTTGATGTGTTTGAGCTTTCAAATTTGCTATTTGATAAGGGACTTTCCATGTTGAATTTTCCTTGGAGCTCGGTACTTTTGTTATTTTACTTTTTCATAATAATGTCATATTAGAAATGAGTATGAACTCACTTAATTACCAAAGGGGAATAGTATAAAAAAAACTTATTCACGATATATCAATGAATATTTAAACTTTTCCGTTATATGTAAACTTTAAAATGGCGCAAATTTAGTTTTTAATTTTTGACGCAAATGAAAGATTGCAATGCGCCCGAATCTTTCTAACCTTAAAAGAACATTAAAACGTTTGATGCCTCTACTCTTTTTATTGACTTCAAATAATCAAACGGATCATGAGTTTTCATCGGACTAAAAACAAAGAACCATCCACAACAGCAAAAGAGACTTGGTGACTTTCATTTTTTTTTCGTCTTTAACACAGGATGTTTAATTTAAGATTTAATCGACAAGTCTTGAAGAAAAATCTTTATGCTCCAAAAAAGATTACTGTAAATTCAGAAGTTATTGCGTACATTTATAATTGCGATTTTGTCATTGTAGACTAAAATGCGATTTTAATTTTTGCGATATTGAGAAAAATCCTGTTTAATTCATATAAAAAAACTTCAAAATGCGAGTTTAAATTATTGCGATTATAACCCTGTCGCATTTTTCGCAATTATAAAAACATCGCAATAATTTCTGAATTTACAGTATTCGGGAATATTTCCGATAACCTTTCTCCAGAGATCTTATTTTTTTCACTCGAGTATAAATGAATTTGGAGGTGGGTGGAGGAAACATACCCTTTATATGAAATATTGAATAGTGAGAACTAATCAAAGCATTCAGAATGTGTTTTTCATACTAAACAGATCCCGATTAAGACCTGGTCAGTTGATGTGCTAGTAATGATTCATCAAAGCAGACCGTTAGGGGACCTCAATATTTTATAGTGTTAAATTGTCTTCTTGGGTTGCCCTCTCATTGACGTTTTCCATACAAGATCTTTCGATTTGCCGATTTGCAAAAGTAGCTTTGCAGAATATACTTGCATCATCGGCAAAAGAAAAGAGACATGCTATCAACGTTACAAATTAGGGTGTACTGTGTATTAATATGAAAAACACGTTGGGTTAATACTTTAACAGGACAGAATCCCAACAACAACGTTCATCTTGACGCAAAGTATACTGAAACAGAAAACAAAATTATAATCATAATCATAATGCATTTTATTGACTCGATCTGCCTTTCAAACCTTAGTTGACATGTCATAACTAAACGTAAGAGGTTCTCTTTAGAGCCTCTTTACATTGCATATTTTTTATCATGAAACGAACTATGTTCACATACTTGATGAATGAGCTTCAATACAAAAAAGATTGCGCGAATTTGAAAAAAAAAAAGAAAAAGAAAGTTTGATCGGTTTTTATTTTTCTTTGTTTCAATACATGTCTCTTCAGTGATGCTGGAATCCAAACATATTTAAAAAAAAAATGTAGAGTTGATTAACCAAAAAGGACAAAAAGTATAGCCAAAGCCGGGCAAGGAATTAGAGCTTTGCATGAGGAGATCTATTTCTTAATTTACAAAAGCTTCAAACATTTTTTTAAATGTTAATAACATAATATCCGTATGTTCATGCCAGTACCGAAGTACTGGCTACTGGGCTGGTGATACCTTCGGGTTAAGGTATTTAACTTGCCTTTTCTGCGAAGACCATAAGGTGACAAAGGACAATCGAAACAATGGCAAATTAGATAGTGAAGACAATCAATATTCATTTATTAAGGAGATAGACTAACGTACTCTTTAAGGGCATCCTATGTCATTCCGTTATTTGGTGATAACCGTGGTGTTTGTTGTTTTGTCTATTCACTATTAGGGGAGTGAGATAGTATAATCAGACCTGGTTTTTGTTCTTTTAAGTTCAAAATATTAGAAATATTATACATGTATCAAAAATAGTATGCTTCAAATCTACATAAGTCATTAGTCTTACAGATTTAAGTATTCATAGTTTACACGGCAGGTACAGTATCCGGCTGAGATTGTGTTTTTTTCGAGTGAATTTACATGCAATCAGATCGATTTACTAATATTTCGAGAATACAATAGTTGTATTCGCGACTGTTCATCTTATTCTGAATAATATACATATGTTGAGCACAAACGACGTACAATGTCCGTGTAGTCCACTCACAATTCAGTGTTTTATATAGTCCGTGCTTTTTTCGAGAGCAACATCTAAAACGTCCCGGTTTTACAACAAATGGTCCGGTTTTTTTTTTTTAAAGAAAAATAAGAATAAGAAGGAAGACAATATTGGGCTTAAACACTGACTTTTTCTAGTTTGTAACTGTTGTTTAGCAAAGGACACTATTACTTATTCTTAATAAGTCACAAAAACATATTACTATGTTGATCAAATTTAACCCTTTTCAGTCTGTTCTGAAAAAGTAAAAACGTAAATTTAAAAAGCAAAAGATGTTGTGCAATTCCAGATGCCATAATTCACTCACATGTTCAAACAAATGATACAGAACTATTTTTATATTTTGTAAATCAGGTTTGCAATAAAAAAAAATCAGAAAATTCAATATGAACGCAAATATCTACTAAAAGAGCCCTCCCCCAAACTTTATAAATTGCATGCGTCCGAAACGCTTTTCTGGATTTATTTTCGTCCAGAACGCTAAAATTGAATCTTTGAAAGCTAAGAATATATAAGAACTGAAACATTTGAAAAGTTTTATGAACAAGGATCTAAAAAATAGCAAAATCCATTAAAGGTCAACTTTGCCTGATGGAGCTGAAACCTTAGTTTGTTAATAATTTTTTAGAAATTATAAACGGTTAATTTTAAATGATTGATTGTTGGCTGTTTAAGGTCCTGTGTCAAATATTTCATGCATGTTCAAGACGAGAACCAATTAACTGTAAATTCAATATTTTAGTCCCGTAACTGAGGACGTTCGTGATGAAAGCCGGGAAATTTAGGCTGCCACTGAAAATTAGGGTATATTGGATATGGACTGAAATATCGTCTTGTAAGAGACCACCTACTCAGCCCCCCCCCCCCCCCCCCCCCCCCCCCCCCCCCCCCCCACCGCCCTCACCCCCAAAGAGCTGTTGTAAAGGTTCTTGACGCGCAATGAACGTGGCACTCTCTACACGCCTCGGAAGCGAACCTAAGTGACCATATTTCTATTCCCAAGCCCCCTTGGAAATAAACAGTTTTAGAAAGGTTTGTTATAAATCATATCATTACCAAAGTACTGACTACTGACCTGATGATAAACTCGGAGACTTATCCAATATATCCAATAAACAACGAAATGAATAACCTAAGTGACCATATTTCTATTCCCAAGCCCCCTTGGAAATAAACAGTTTTAGAAAGGTTTGTTATAAATCATATCATTACCAAAGTACTGACTACTGACCTGATGATAAACTCGGAGACTTATCCAATATATCCAATAAACAACGAAATGAATAATCTTTAAGTTTTAATACGATCCTTTTTGAAATAATAATAAAAAAAAAACGAAATGTGCATATAACATGCGTAAACCCCATAAGTATAATTCTTTTAATTTTTGGTGGAATAAAGCTATGATGGTGCTTTATTTCTATATTACCAAGTAAAGCATATGCTTGAAAAGACTCCTCTTCATAGTAGGAGCATTAGAATATTGTTCGTGATTTCCATTTCTAGAACAATAAAATGTATTACAATCAAGACAAACAGAAAATGAAACATTTAGGATGTATTTTATGTTAAAAAAAACATCACACATTTACTCGCTTTACACACGATGTGTACATACGTCTCAATCCAACATGTCTGAGTTTACATAAAGATTGTTTACATCACGAAATAATTACTGTATGAAATCCATATCGGTACACTTACACGAAGATAATATTATCTGAATAAAATTGAATGATGCCTATTTATGAAATGTACATGTTAATACAGCATTATCAAACTGGTTTATTGCATTGTTTCGTGCCTTAAAAAGTACTTCATTTGAACATTTTCATTGTTTTTGAAACGTAAATGTACTGACATATTACATTTTAAGCCATATGAATGTTGTTTTCTCACACGATAAAACAAGGACGCACTAAAAAAAACACGGACTGCTCCCGAAAAAACCCGGACATATAAAATGAATTTGCTCTCTAAAATGTACTTTTCAATGCAAAAACAAGAATTTGTGTATAGTGTCTGTATATCTAAGTATATATATATAGATTCTATGTAAGAATTTCTGTTGACATTTGCATTGGTATG